GATAAGGGCTTCATTATAAGTTTCGATGAAAGTGTACTCATTCAATGCCTTTTGATAAATAAAACAAGATTGAAAGTTAAAATTGTCCCGCGACACTGTAAGAAAAGAAATAAAATGTCAAAAGCGATGTATTTTTAAAATAGAAAATCTGGCTGCGGTCGGGAAGACGCTAGAAATGCTTCGAAGCATTGCATTAATCAATCAGAATAAATAAATCTTTACTCTTTTTGTCCTGATTGGTCAATCAAACGCTTCGAAGCATTTCTAGCGTTTTCCCGACCGCAGCTTCTGTCAATCGAAGATATATTCCGTTTGACGCTATTTTCGATTCGAAGCTCAAGGTTCTTCGCCCTGATTGGTCCACTAAACATTTTGAACGTCAAACGGAATGCACTCTGAACATAGTCATGTAAGTATGCTTGGTGATGTCATGTTTGGAACTCACTTCAAGCGTAAAGTAGAGATGCGATGATGCGAGATGTGAGGGAAAGAAAGAGAAAGAGAAATTATATTGGTTATTCTATTGCGTTGCCATGTTCTATCTGTAGAAGGCATATTTGATATATTTATAAAATAAATGCATTTAATGTATGTGTGTGCATATAACAGTGTGTAATAAATAAAGTGATATTCGAAAGATACCATAGAAAAAAAGGAAAGAAGATTGCACAAATTTGCAATCTATAAATATAGTTGGTGTGTGAGATTTTGCAGCTTAGCAGTTTATTGTATATTGTAACTTTTATATTGCACCATTTTCCACAGAAAATCTCAAGATTATTTTGCACTAAAAAATGGTATGTAAAATTTCTTAATTCTTTAATTTTATATATAACTGGATAAAATTTTTTATGAAATATGTATATATATATATATTTTTTCTTAAGGCACAAGAGGTTGAAGAAACTATGAAACGAATTCAGTCTCATAAAGGAGTAGTTGGAACAATAGTAGTGAATGCAGAAGGTATTACATGAGAGAATTGACATGGTTTATTTATGACTATAAAGAAAATTTCATAAAATTATATCTATTTTAGGTATTCCGATAAAAAAAAATGAGTGAAAAAAAATTAGAACAAAATGAACTGTTAACGTAGGATTCTGATAAGATATAATAAGAAAGGTTTCAGTAAAATGTCAAACGTTGATCGCGCGAATAAATGTCAAGCTTTACAGATGGAAGTATCTTGACAGGAACTTGAAAACGATGCCGGCACAATAAAGGAGGTGTATAAAGGTCTCTAATTATCGGTGCGTGCGCACCTTCGTTTAATAACGCACACAATCTGACCTTTACGCAAGACTTACACAAACGAATGAACGCATTTGACATTGATTGCAACGCGCGTACGATATTTTTCATCCTTGATACGTTCGCACGAGAGCGTCTCCGCTCACGAGTCCAGTAACTAACTGCGCAAGAATGCTGAAGTTATAGACCATAAATCAAAAGACATGTATGTGCAGAAATGTACGTCTCTTATCGAGAGAAAAAATCGTCATAAAGCCGTATCTTTCAATATATATTATCCGAAAAGGCTTGTAATAATTTTTTTAAATTCATAAGCCAATGATAAAAATGTCATAGTGTGATATCTTTTATAAAAGAAATTTCTTTTATACATATACACACAAACATAAGGTGTTCCCGACAAATTTTGAATTTGTGAATTCTTATGTAATTTAGAGTCAGTTCTAGCTTAAAAGAAGTGCTTTACGAGATACAGATATTGGGTTGGAAGGAAAGTAACTTTGTTGTTATTTTTTATTTTTATTTATTTATTTATTTATTCATTTGCTTCTAATAAAACACACTAAAGTCCTCTATTGAGAATACGACATTATTTTCCTTCCAACCTATTAATCTTTCAATTACAAATGATAATAAATAATACCCGTCACTTTTCTTGCGAAGCAAGCTTCAAGGATGTAAATGTAAAGCTGCAGATATATTCTTAATTTATCTTCGAATGAAAATCTTTTTAATCAAATTTTAAAATATAAGCTTAATCATTAAGCTTATTATTTTATATTAAAAATTAGAAAATAGCGAAAGAAGATGACATCCAATTAAAGTTTTGTTAACAAGAATTTTGAATTCCCCCAAAAGTTTATAGATAAAACTTCGAGGATTTGTAGAAACATGAATATCGCGAAACACTCTGTATAATCAAATATCGCGGAAGCGTTGCATTTCACGCCCAAAATGATTACAACTACAACTTTCAAATAACTTTTGCAAACTCTATCATATGTTTCAATGACGCTATTACACATAAATTGAAATATGCATCGCAGGGACATCCTACATGTTGTATAAAGTACGCATCTCTTGTCTCTCACGTGTAATCAGCGTGGCTTTGGCCACGTTATGTCGAAAGGTTTACATAGATATTTCTCGCGTTCACGCTCTCATTGCTTACACGAAGGTTTCGAGCAAATTCATCATGCATTATCTACGTATCGAGCAGCCGGACGCGCCGTATATCGCGAAAAGAAAATGTATATTTGTCTTATTGATTTTCAATTCTTGCTAATGATTAGCGACATTTGCGATAAACATCGAAGACGTCGTAAAGTATAAGGAAGTATAACGATGGAAAAGTTTGACAAGCGACACATAAGAATCTATTGTCAATAAGACACAATTCATAAAAAAATAGTTATTTTTGGAATTAGAACTCTTTAACTGTAATTTGCATAAATTATAGTAATAGTTCATAATTGAATAGACTATTATATTTTCATTCTATTTATTATATATTCATTACATATTCATTATATACTCGTTATATATATATATATATATATATATTCATTATAAAAAAATGCCCGCGCGATTGTTATAAGAATTATTTTTCCATTTTATGTAAATATCACACTTTATGTTAATACAAATATATTATAACAATGAATTAACTAGTTATGCAAATTAGCAAGTAAAGCATCGTACATATTGACTGTTTTGTTAAGAAAACAATCGAGAGACATCGTTACAATACATTATCACATGGCATTTATATATTTCTTACGAGTTTCTTTCCGCAAAAATAATGCCCTCAAACGGTCATTTATCTCGTTATAATTACGTTCTGACGTCAAAGGACTATTAAATCACATGTAGGTTTTACTGTAACACGTGAGCCTCATCGTGCAATCGAATTATAACTGTAAAGGTCTTCTCGTGTCACGTTGTTTTCACACTTTCCCCGGCTGAATGTAAATGCTAATATCTCGCGCATTGCAGTTTCTATGCGACCGCGAAAGATGAAAAGAAAAAAATGCTCACGTTGACATTATATCTATTTTAGGTATTCCGATAAAATCAACATTAGACAACACAACAACGGTTCAATATGCAGGTTTGATAAGTCAATTGTCAGACAAAGCTCGTTCTGTCGTACGTGACTTGGATCCAACAAATGATTTAACTTTCTTGCGCATACGTAGCAAAAAACATGAAATTATGGTCGCGCCAGATAAGGAATTCATATTAATAGTGGTACAAAATCCAGTTGATTGATGTTTAATAGAAACAAAAGTATATTTCAAAGTCAAGATTTATTTCTTCGGTTATTAATTTATTCTGTATGCCATATTGGATTTTAATATCTATTCAATTAGAAAATGAAAGAATAAAACTTCAATATTATAAAATACAACATTTAATTACTAATTTAATAAATCATGCTTTAAGAGCTTTCAAATAGTGTTTTCTCCTTTGATAATAATATTTTATATTATTTTCAATTTGATAACATATTGTGAATGAATGTTATAATAATTTTTTCTAGTATATTTATCTTTATATTATTTAACACAATTATAAGTGAGCATCTCTTATCATTGTATATATAATATCACGAAATCTTTTTATATTTTATGATTCAATATTAATACCAAACTCATGTTTCTATTATTGATAATATACTTTATGTAAAAATATATTGAGAATATTACAGTATAAAGAGATGAGCAGAAAAAAAAATTAATTAAAAATTAAACATTAATCAAATTGTTCTGAATCAATGAGTAAGAAAAAATGTATTACTTTCATTACTTTATTTGATATTATAATAAATACTGGAAAGTAATGTTTCAGAAGTTGGATTAGAAATATATGTTTTATTTAATTCTATTTATATTTATAATTTAATGTTACAAAAATACAAAATATATATGGATTCATGTAGCAAAAACTTATTGACTAGAGATATAAAAGATATATAAATTCCGATATTTATAAGTAAACATATATATAGTGTAAGATTGTTTCAGTTATTTCAATTACATGATAAATTCTAATATAATTCTTATTTAAAAGGGAAAATATGTTTATATTAGTAAAATAATACCAAATATTTATTTTTGTTTATGTTTTCCATTTATTCTGTTAATCTATTGAAATATTGTGAGAGCATACATTTTTGAGTATTAACATTATCAAATAATATCACATAAGTAGATCTTACATATAAATTAGACTACATAGTATAGTATTCTGAATATTCTGAGTTCATATGCTTTATTTAAATATTCCTGAGAAATGTTATATTTCTTTACATCTCTTAAGCAAAAAGATTCCTATCAAAATTCCAATATAAAAAGTTATATGTAGTTGGCCCCTGTCAATTATATATACATGCAGTCTTACACAAATAATTCTGTGTGCACAGTCTTTTTAAAATATAATATTTTAAAGATACTTGGAAGTATAATCAAAGTGGCTTTGTTTATCCATTTTACAAAATCTTTGAAAATTGACCTATACAATGAAACTATTATATACACAGACTTCTATAGAATAATATATATTATATATAATTATATGTAATGTATTGATTATATGATAGTGAGATTCATTTCTTTCAATTTCATTCACATTCTTTATATTGTCATAAAATCTTATAAAAATTATAATGCAGGATTGATTAGCTACATTATATAGCTCATCTCTTCTGTCTCTTTTGAATAAGAAATAGATATCTAAAGTTATATTGCTTGAACTGATCTGTTTGGAGTACGATTCTTTTTTGAGGGATGAAAAACAGTATAGTACAGAACCATTGCTGCAATTCCCAGGAAAAACGAGACAATACAAATAATAAAGAATACATTAAAGTACCAAGCTTCTCTAACTATAGGAGGAGAAGTATAATGCCACAACAAATTTGATATAATATTTTCCAAAAAGCATAGCATGTAGAAAAACATATGCTTCCAAAATGTATTGCCATTCACAGCATTGAGATATATGAAAATATGAACTACACCAATAACTGAGGCAAATAATATAGAATAAATGCGTTCTTTAAATGCAGGCTGCATATGTGGTGGACGACTGTAAGTTTGACAAAATTCTAATATTCCTTGAGATTCGATCAAAATCCATATTGTCATACTTATCCAATGTATTATGCAATAGATTATGGTATATACAGGCCAGATGCTTGCAATGACACTGAGTGATAAGATCCTTGCCACTATAATCATGATGATAATCTCCATGAATTTCTTTCAAAATATTATTTTTACAATGTGGCAAAATATTCAATTTTGTATATTAATTATTGAATATATACCTGTAATGCAAAAGTGCCACAAAAATTGTAAAATAATTCCTATAACACCAATATTCGATTTATCTTGTTGAGCTAATCGAATGCTACGATGGTAACTAGCCATTGCCCAACCCATGCTCACAAGCGAACTGACGATACTACTTATTTGATGTATAACTGGAAAATAATATAAAAGTAAATTATGAGAATTATTTAAAAAATATATGTATACATATATAGGCATTTATATAAGATATTTAATAATTTTTTGGACATTTTCTGTGATTGCAAAATATCTGATTCCATGTCACTTGTCAATTTGCACAAAAAGCTATATAAATGGCAATAAACTTGGAAATAATGATATTAAAAATATATTTGGCAAGAAAATTTTTTTCTGTATAGCAAACATTACTAATTACTCTATACTTTGAAATTTATAAAAAATATAAATATTAAAACTTATATTCAAGATAATATATAAGTACATTCAAGATTAATCCTATTATCATAATGCTTTAATATTAGAGTGAGTTGCAGAATTTGTTGCGGCGCAGCTTCCAGGAAACATTCAAATACCCTTAGCAATGCAACATCTTGATCTTCTTTGAGCATCTTCATATAATATCGTCTTTCACTGGTACGGTCTCCAGATTTCTCACATTTACGCGCTTTTAATGCATATTTTAAAGTTTCCCAATAATGTACAACTGGCGCTAATTGCAAGAGAACAGCAATCACGAAGTATAATTTATTTTTGACCATTAAACGCGTTATTTTATGATCATCTAGTGGATCCATGCCAGGATTCCTCTGTATTAAGGAATATATTATTCTAATCTGAAAAGAAAAAAATGCTCACGTTGACAACGTTGACGACGACGTGATTGCGAGAGAGATCGACGATAATGCCGAGAATAGCATTACACATGTATTGTATTGTTTAATTGTTTTATATATATATTTAAAAAACGCGAGAGAGAAAGCAAAAGCGGGTCTGCTTATTCCAAGTGTAACCTATCGTTAGGAGCGATTTTACAAGTTATTATTACACTTATATTTTCTATGCGTTATATATCGTTTCAATCAAATTTACATATCCTGTAGCGATTATTACGAACAAGTTATATAAACGTGAATATTGCATAAATATAAATGGCGCTCCTTGTTTTTACGACATTTTCCATTTGTTTGAAACTTACAAGTATCTTTATATAATTAATTTTTTTTTTTTAAAGTTTCTAATCTTAAAGAGAAAATAATTTTTTAAATGACAAGATTGAATATCAATTATAATAAATAATTTACGTACATTGTCATACTTTTGACAATGTATATATAATTATAATGTTTTGTTGATCAACCTTTCGAAATAATAAAGTACAATAGATCGTTATCGTGGATCACCGTCTTATCGTGGATAATTAAAAAAATTGCAAGCAAATATAACTAACAGACTGGAATACAATCTCTTAAAATCTTTTAAAGCTTTTTCTTTCTAATTCTCTTAATAGGCTCCATTAAATTATAAGCGGTATACGAGACTCACAGATTATCGCAACCACGTTGGAAGATGCAGTCAAAACGTCAAAGTAAACAATAAACGAACGATTCTTTACTTAATGTCTTATCAGGTTTCAAATATGTATCTTAAAAAAAAAAAAGATAAGCGAAAAAAGAGAATATTTTGATTGTGAAATACACGCATAGAAATGTAACTGTCACTATATGCATATTTTAACAAAATTTTTCTCCCTCTAGAAATAATTTATGTATGGCTTCTCGTCTTCGCTAAATGCGAAGAAACTCAACGATGGAAAATATTTTGGTATCTTACCTTTCCTCAACCGTGAGGTTTTCCAATTCGGGCACGCGACACCAGTGTTTCTCCGGCACAAGGGTGATAAATATCTGCGAAAAGTACACCCAGGCGACGAAGAAGGCAAATGGTATCATCAGCACGAACAGGATCCTCTGATAGGTACCGAATTCGCCGATATGAGGCAGAAGATCGTCGAAGTCTAGGTCCTTGGGTTGCTCCGGATCGTCCTCCTGATCGTCGCTCTTGCGATCACTCTTCGCGGCCGGAAATCCGGTCTCGGACGAGGCCGAGGCCGACAGATCGGACTCAGGACTCGTGTCCTTCGAGGATATATCCCCGAGGACTCTGCCGTTGGCCGCGGAGAGTTTCTCCTGTGGCGGCATATCGCCGTCGGTCGAGATCTCCGATGCTCCCCGCGAGAAGAGAGGAGGCAACACTTTCTTCACGCGGCGACCGCTGCGATGACTCGACTCCAGCCTTCAGGGATGCTGCACCGCGGTCTCAAGATCAAGATGACGCCCGGTTCGAGCGCGATCTAAGCTTATTTAAAGGCGCGCTCCTCTCCAGCTTCCGCTCGACGACGACGGCGGTGTTCACTCTCGCAGAGAATCTCTTACGTTCCGTAAAACATGTTGAAGTTCCCTATCACCGCGTGACGAAACAAATCGTTATCGTCTCGCGCGCTATTTCTTCGAGCACTCGCCGCGATAATTGAACCGGCAAGGCTGATCGGCTGAACGGTCGATTGATCAGTCTTATTTAATCGGCCGCGGACATCGTGGGAGTATATCGCGCGGCGAAGGCTCGGAAGAATATATCGAGGCTAATCCGAGGAAAAGAAAAAAAAAAGCGGGCTAATCCTGAGACGAGAGACAACGACTGGAACGATTTGTTGCGTTCGTAGCTAGCTATATAGGCATCGATCGTAGGGTATATCCCCTCTCTCTCTCTCTCTCTCTCTCTCTCTCTCTCTCTCTCTCTCTCTCTCTTTGCTGCTACTACATAACACAATTCAATGGTTATACCTTGTACGTTTCTCCCGTAGGAAACAGGTGTCCGTGTGCAGGTGCGTAGGTGTGAAGGACGTCCGAGTGCGGTCGAGGATTCCCTCGGGGTGGAGCCGAAGGATGAGCGAGTATATTAGATTGCGGGATTTAATACGTTACTTTGGGAATATGCGGTATTTATCAGCGTATGTGAAACGCTCGCTATCTATACACGGTGTGTCGTAAAATCTGCGTCGAATTTTAGCAATGCGTATGATAATGTCAAAGATAATTTCCTCGATCAATTAAAAATGAACGACAATATTTAATTATAGTTTTCGACACTAAATCTTTGTATAAGAAAAAAATAATAGTATCAAAACAATCGTCGCTTTTCAATCCGAACGCGTCAAAGGTACGAGAAGCGAATGGCGCTTTCTGAAAGACGGAGTTTATGTTGTCGCGTCAGACGTAATGAACGATGTAATGGGCTTTCACACGCTGAGCTTTATTGCTCAAGCAAGTAATAAAGCTTTTATTTCGCGAGTCGCTTGTTGTGCACAGGTGCCGACGCGCGGGACTCCGAAAGCAATCTAGGATCCCTCTAGAGGGGACGGGAGCTGCCGAAGGATGAGTGAGTATATTAGACCGCAGGGTCTAATACGTTATAAGCCGTATGTATTTACTTGCCCTTGCATCCCGTTCTCTATGTATATACGTTACTATATTCGATGTGTTATCCCGCGGGAGATCCCGAACGTGGTCGAATCTCCATCGAACTGTAACGTTCATAAATCTGCTTGCTACCGGATATCCTTGACATATATATGCGAGAATCGTGGGATTTCTCTTACATGGGTTTTTGTTCAATTATCCGTTAACAGTCTTTGAAAAACCGTCATACATCTTATACGTTCAGGTATTTTTGAAAGACGTGGATTTTTTTTGTTAATATAAAGGATCCCCGAAAGGAATAGAAGCACCTCAAACGCGGATGAGTCAAAGGTTAAGTGAGGATATTAAACCGCTAGATTCGCTGCTTTACGTGCAAAATGCGAATGTGTGCGGCAGACGTGCGTGTGTGTGCGTGTACTGCTGAATATGCCGTCGCGTGTTTACATGAGTCTGTGTAATATAGGTATGTATGGTCGAAATTAATTAAATCTGATCTCGGGCAATATTCGGGAAACTGATCTCCTTTATCGTTGCAGAAGTTACTAGCTTGCTAAAGGAGATATAGACAAAGGAAAAATAGAAATATGTTACGCAAAAAATATCAGCAGAAAATTTTTCTTTGATATTAGCAAGACTTATTTGTTCAAATACTATCGTCTATAATAAAATTATATACAGCAGTTTAATTAAAAAATGATAACAAAGATTATGTGTTCTTTTCTCTCGTAATATTTAAACAATGAGACTTTGATGTTACACAAATGTATGTAAAATCAGAATTAATAATGTTCGATGAAAAAATTGTAAACTTTTTCTAAATTTCAATTTTCATAACGATCGAGTAATTTTTTTCTGCTGCCGTGATTGCGATATCTATATTCTAAAAGAACACTTGAATAACAAAATGCAAGAAATTGTTTTTTTACGACACATTTCAATATATTGTCTCTACACGCAATAAAAGAATTTAATGCCACGAAAAATTCTGCGAGATCGCGTGTTGTTCGCGAAATGCTTGGATGCTGAAACATAGATGCGCAAAGGAAGCAAAGGACAACTTTAAAAGGAGTGTATATCCCCTCTCTCTCTCTCTCTCTCTCTCTCTCTCTCTCTCTCCCTGTCTCTTTGCTGCTACTACATAACACAATTCAATGTTCTCCAAGTGGCATTGAACGCGCCACGGATCACATCGATCGCCCTCGTCCACTGGCCGACGTTGCTCGAACTGGCGTTGGCCTCTTCTCTTTTCTAGCGACGCGCACATCCTATACAGCGCAGACACCCAGTGGATATATTTGGATATCGATTGGATATCCAAGTCCGCTAACGTGCACGATATTAATTTAGAAAACTTCTAAAACATTTTACCCGTGAAAGACATTGAAATTATATAGCTTGTCGCAATAATTCCTTTTTATTATTATAAGACCGTATCTAAGATAATTCTATTTTGAACACTCACGAGAGAAACGTGCAGAGAGAAAGAGAAATAATATAATACATAATATATAAAAAAACAAAAGTCTGCAACATTTATATATGTATAGAGAGATACACAATGAAATAACGAGTTATAACACAATTTATAAAATAATAACAATTATAAACATTGAATGTGCGTGGAAAAAGATTGTAAAAATTACATTTAAAAATTGAAAACGAAAGACACTCTATTAGTGTGTCACAGATAAAAAATCCCGGTTTTTAATAATAATTTGCAAAGAAAAACTTAATTAGACTTTCCGTTAAAGAAATTTATTTTAAGACGCAAACATCACATAAATAAATTTGAGCAAATTATATAATGATTAATGTGATCAGATTGTTACTTCTTTATTATTCTTCTCTGCCTTTCGCATCTGGCAGTTGATAAAAGAATATATAGAGGAATTCAAATTTGCATAAAAGCGAGGCCTAAAAGAACAACATCATTTTTGTATAAATATATGCATTACATATATTATTTAAATCACTTTAATTAATACAAGTTTGCAAAATTCTATTATAAGGATACGATTAATAGCGCGCAATCGCTATCTGACTCACTAGTCATTAAATAACTGATTTAACAAAAAGATATAATTCCAGTCAGCGTTATTGTGTGTGTGTAAAATATGTGTGCGTATACGCACGCCTGGAATTGTAAAGCACTTGACCTAGTGATTCAGATAGCATTTACGCGATTATTTTACCGCGAGGTTTCTCTAACTTATACTTATCAACGTTTACTTGATCGAGTCAAGACTGGTACATACGATTAGTGTATATTTCAATATATTTTTATAGAGCTGCAAAAGAGCGAATATCTTATTGTTCGCTCTCTAATCAACGGCAAACGAAGAAATACAAAATCTTCTCTGCGCAATTGTCGCGATATCTTTCGAGAGCATCGTCAAGATTACGAGCAATGTTGTTTATCACGAAATCGTAATTATCCGTAATTAGATAGTAATAATCGTTAATATACGACTGTCTGTCGTGATATGACAAATAAAGTGTCATCAACGATTACGTGAAATATCCTGTCATGGAACTTTTAATACGATTATCTCTTTGCTCTTATAATCATAACTTATGGCAATACACTAAAACCTTATATTATAGATGAGCTATATATTTATCGATATAACTCAATTTCCAATTATTCGATATTCCAAGTAATTTATCGTGTAATATTACAACAAATTAAAAAGTTGATTAAAAAAACATTAATAATATGTTTAGCAGCACTGAAAACTATATATCAGTAATATCTTTCGAGAAGATATATACGTACACAAATATATATATATA